GAAGCACCCCAAATCCCTAGAAGGATAAATAAAAAGGAAATTCCACCTAAACAAATAAAAGAATCTCTAGAATAACAAAGACAAAGAAAACATCATAAAACCATACAGAAAGAAAAGGTAGATTACCTGCAAAAGAATGAGTTTTAGATAAAGAGCCAACCTCTCAAAAATAGCAATGAAAGCCAGAAGAGAAAATAATTATCTTTAATATGCTAGGAAAAAAATATCTACCTAAAGCCAGATATCTAAAAGATATCTCAGGGCTGGCTGGTTAGCACAGTTGGTTAGAGCATGGTGCTGACAATAGCAATGTCCAGAGTTTGATCCCTATACTGGCCAGCCACCAAAAAAAAAAAAAAAAAGGTTTTGAATAAAAAATAAATAAAAGATACCTCAATTTCTCACCCTAGGAAGGCCATACTTCAAAAGCAAAGGCAAAGAAAGACGCTTTCAGACAAATAAAAGAGAATTTTACCATCAATAGACTCTAAGTAAAAGATCTTACTGATATACTTGAAGGAAAAGTAAAATAATCACAGAAAAATAATTACAAGAATCAAAAAAGAATGAGTACATGAGTGTGTAATCATATATACATATATACATATTTGTAGTATAACTCAATACTATAATAATATCTGACTTTAATATTAAAAAGAAAAACAGAATTAAACATCACTCAAAACTAGCATACATATCAAGAGAGGGTAATTGATAATTAAAGTATTCTTTTAAGTATATGCATGTCAAATTTCATTTTTAAGATTGTGCATATTAAAATTCTTTTCTAAGGTCAGATAAAGATAACTTGTCTTCCAAATAAGTAAATGAAAAAAAATGAAATGAGAAATTATAAATCTACCCAAAAGAACTTAAGGAGGAAGAGGATGAGAAATGAGAAGAAAGAAACATAAAAGGAAGAGACAGAAAGAAGAAGAGAAAAAAGACAAAGAGGAGGAGGAGCAGGAGTGGGAAAGGTGAACCTAGAAAAAGTAACAAATTGAAATTCAAAAAGAAATGTCAGATATAAATTCTAATATATTTTTACAATCAATACAGAAAGATAAAACTACCAGATAAAGACAAAGATCATCAGACAGGATAAAAAAACATTCATTTGCTATTTATAATACATATTCCTAAAATATATAGGCAATGGTATGAAAAATGATTAACTATGATGAGTGTGAATAGCTGCACACATCAACATGGATATATCTATGAAACATAATATTGAGAGAAAAACGCAAATCTCAGAAGAATACATGGAAGATGATTCCATTTACATAAAGTACAAAAAGATATAACACCAAATAATATATTAATTAGGAATACATATATAGTAAAACTACAGCGAAAAGGAATGATAACCCCAAAAATTCATACTAATGGTTACCACAGCATGGGGAGAGGGGGTTGTTGCATAAGTGTATAGAATTAAGTAGGGATGATGTATGGAAGCCTCAAAGTCATAGGCAATACTCTATATCTCTGCCTTATTAGTAAGCAAGTGGGTGTGTATTTCACTGTTATGATAAAGTCTTTTATATATATTTATTATTTTATAAAAACAGTTTTTAAAGAAGTCAAAGTACTTATAACTTCAAAATTCAGGATCTTGAAAATTTTTTCTTCAGATAATGTTGATAGCAATGAGTATATTGATCTCATTGCTTGCCACAACTTTTCTATCTTCACACACATAGCACAGGGCACAAAACATAGATCAACTCCAAAGTCAATCTCTTCTACCTGCTTGTGTTTTCAATCTCAGAAATGCAGAAAAACTAGTTTCCAAAATGACACTGATTAATGGAATAATGACATTGAAAGTCTGCTCACTTGTTTTCTTATAAATACATATTTTCCTGTAAAATTTTCTAAAATGATTTCTTCACAGCTACAGTTAGCAACTATACAATCCTAGTTCCAGAATCTCTTTAGAAATCTTTTTTTAAAAAAAAAAATAACTTTAGTGAGAAAATATTTCTTGTAAGCTTCAAAACACAAATTTTAACTGTGATTTAAGAAAATAATACCTAAAATCATGAAACAGAAGACATGATAAGATTAGAATTTCTGAGACAGAAATCTTGCCTTTGATAGGTCCATCAAATTGAGAAAATGAAGATATATTCCATAACTAATCTGCTACATGCTTAGATAGGTATGAACTATAAATGCTTGATATCAATCATAATAATGTTGGTGTCTACCTTTTTATGTTTCTACCCTACTGTATTCAATAACTCAAACATAATTACTGACTACGTCAAGATCCACTAAAAGTTATGTTTGATAATTCAAACAAGCTGGTCTTTTCCCTAGAGTTCAAAACTAGCTCAAAACTGTTACCAAGAATACTGGATAGTCAATAGACCTTATCAAACAGAAGAACTTTGTGATCTTCACATCAAATATTTCTAAAACAAGGCAAATAATCTGGTATTTAACACACTGATTCTCACATAATTCACTAGTGGATAGTGGAAGGTTGACATGGCTCATAACTACTAAGCAAAGTCTCATAAGTTGATGAATGGTTCTTTTGATTTAAATATACCCTGACCCTAAACCACTACTGGAAAACCATTATTACTTAGTTCACTTGTTTCTTTTTGATCCTATTCACAGACAGTAAAGATTCTAACTCTAATTTACTCAATGATATCGCAGGTCTAACAATGATCTCAAAATCTTACAAAATTTATAATTCCTTCTAAGAATTTAGTCACATACTGTACATTAAAAAGGCACATCATAACTCACAGGAAAGTCTAAAACTTTGATCCTAGGCATGACTTCTAAGTTTTATATGCCCAGCTAAATCCCTTCTCTAAAGAAACATTCTCAAGTATCTTCTCAGTGTTCTCTTTACATACAGTAGCATAATTTCAGAAAAATTTCACAAGATTTTCTATTCTTTTTAGTTGAAAGGACTACTTCATAGAAAACATCATGAATTCCTGATTATATATTCTAGAACTGTTCATTCTTAGAGAAATAATTCCACAAGTTTTGGGGTTTTTTTCTAAATAAGGTTCAAATGAAAGAGACAGCACAATTTCTCATTGTTTTTATGTAAAAATCACAATAAATAATCCTATCCATTGTAATATGCATGAATTCATACTTAAAAATCCTACAATTTTGTTTTCTTTTGTAATAGTTATCAACTCAAGATGGAAGACGAGGAGGAGGAGGAGGAGGAGGTAGAGGAAGAGAAGGGGAGTAGTGAAGGAAGGGTCTACTTCTAATTATACTGAAAACTATGAAAATCTTCAGTGCCCAGTAGCTGACAAACTGAGAAATGAGTGTGAGTTGTCCCCCTGTTCAAACCCTATACACGCTCATCCTACATTTAAATCCCACAGAAACAATGCTTTGGATCTCCTTCGTTTACTCAATCACCACACCTAGGATAATACTTGGAAAACAGCAGGTGCTCAATAAATATTATTTAAATAGATTCATTGCATAGGTACAGATTAATGTGAAAACCAAAGCTCTTCGCTTATGAATATACTTGTCAAATAAATTCTCTAATCCAACCTAAGTTTCTAACAATAGCCATGGTAAGACTAAAGAAGACTAAAATTAAAGACTCATTGTTTCAATTAACAAAACTTTACTGAGCACTTCCTACATGCTAGATGCTGTACCTAGAACCCAGAAGTAAAAAATACATGTGAAGGTCTTAGTCTCATGCCCACCATTAGTTTAGAGAACTGAAAGTGATAAAATGTGGAAAAATAAAGACAAAATTGAAATACACTAAAGATGCTTTGTTTACTCTTCATACTCCTTAGTTAAACCTCACTCTCAAATCTCAGCATGTAGTCTTCTCATTTTAAATATTTCTACTTTTAAGTATTTTTTCATACTATATCCAAACCTCAGAAATGTCAAAAATAAAAAAGCACTAATCAGAGAGAATATCAAATTCCTTCCCATGTCATTACCTCCAATTATAGTATGCCACTGTAGCCTTCAGAACATATATATACACATCCACATACATATATTCTTATGCAGAAATAGTCATTCATTTCTTATATAATAAACAGCCAAAACTGATCTGCCTTGTACGCTTATACCTCTGAAATTCTCTGATTCTGACTGCTCAGACATTTCATAACAACAAGGCATGCTCAAATTTTTTCAAGAATACGCTGGTTTAACTACCTACCTAATTCAGGGTCAGCATACAGCCTCTGAATAGGTTGAAATATCTCCTTTCGGGCACCAAAACTAACATACATATTTCAGGTACACCTTATTTGGTGGGATTTTTTGTTGTTGTTGTTGTTTTTAAACAGATCTGTCTACTACCATCCCAATAATCTGACAAATTTAAATATGTCCAGTTTATCAAAATACAATTACACTGATATTTAAATTTTGTACACAATTACGTCTCAGAGGCACCAAAAATTAGCCCCATTCCAAAAGTCTAAAAATTGATTACAGAAACACATATGGTAGTGTTGCCAGACCAAAATATAGGATACACAGTTGAATTTGGATTTCAGATACATTTTTTTAGTCTGATTATGTCTAAAACTCAAATTTTACTGCATGTCCTATATTTTTATTTGCAACACTAACCTATGGGCTCCTACAATGATACCATCTCCAAAGGAAAAAATTAATTAGTAGTGAAACGCAAATCAGCAGGTATATATTCAACCCCAAAATTCAGAGTGAAACTCAGCCCCATTAAATTGATAGTTTCTGATCATGTCTGTTCTCTTTTAAAAAAACACCTTACAAAAAAAGTTTTCTTTAAAAGTCCATGAGCTATGTACCACTCAGTAATAAATACAAAAGGCACTATTGAGACTATATTTCTTCATGAATATAAATATTATGATCCAATTTTTACCTTGAGAAATTGTTGAATTATACCAGCTATTTACTTGAAGGCACCATGAAGGAAGTATTAAATAAAAATGACAGATTAATGACATCTGTTTAGTTTAGTAACATAGATGAATTACCTCACAGGATTACTAGTCAAAGACACGCGGAGGGACTCCAGGCATGTGACAAGTCTCTCATCTGCAGACCCCATTTTCAGCTCATAAATCAATTCCTGAGGTGAGATCTGCCGGATACTCTTAAGGCTTCCCTGTAAAATAAGTCAAAAAGAATTTTAATCTATGCTGCATGAAGATTATCCAGAAAATAAATTTCTCCCACCCCTCATATTAACAATTGTGCCTAATTACCATTACTAGCATTATTTTGGTGGGATGACTTCCTTACTATCTGCCCATAAATCTGTAAGTTCATAATCCATGATATCCATAAAAGAAAACAACATACATCAAAAGGTTTGCAAATTAAAATTACTGCTTTTTCAAATGCCAAAGGTCATGGACAGGCAACTATAGTAAAAATAGACAAATGGGAATACAGAAAACTAAAAAGCTTCTGCACAGCAAAAGACACAATCAACGAAGTGAAGAGACAACCTACAGAATGGGAAAAAGTGTTTGCGAATTAAATATCTGACAAAGGGTTAATGTCCACAATATATAAGAAACAACTCAACAGCAAAAAAATGAAGAGCCCAATTTAAAAATGGGCAAAGGACCTGAACAGACATTTCTCAAAAGAAGACATACAAATGGCCAACAGGCATATGAAAAAATGCTCAACATCACTAATCATCAGGCAAATGAAAATTAAAACCACAATGAGATATCATCTCACATTACCAACAAGACAGAAAATAACAAATGCAGGTGAGGATGCAGAGAAAAGGGAACTTTCATACACTGCTGGTGAGAGTATAAGTTAATATAGCCATTATGTTAAAACAATATGGAGATGCCCCCAAAAACTAAAAACAGAACTAACTTATGACCAAGCAATCTCACACTTGGATTTCCGAAAGGAAATGAAATCAATATAACAAAGAGACACCTGTGCTCCCACGTTCACTACAACACTATTCACAATAGCCAAGAGATGGAAATCAACCTAAATGCCCATCGGCGGACAAATTAAAATTTTTTTAAAATTGTGGTATACACACACAATGGAGTATTTTTCATCTATTTAAAAAAAAGAGAGAGAAAGAGAAATCCTATCATTTGCAGCAACATGGATGGAACTGGAAACCACCATGTTAAGTGAAGTAAGCCAGGTACTTCTGTGACAAATACCACATGATCTCACTCCTATGTAGAATCTAAAAACTAAATTAAAAAAAAAGGGGGGGGGGGTTCTCATAGAAGTAGAGTCTGGGAAGGGAAGACAGATAGAAGGGAGGGGAAGTGGTGGATTAATGGGTACAAAGCTATAAGTAGATAGGAATTATAACTTCTGGTGTTCTAGGCTGACTAGGGCTGATAATAACGATATTGTATATTTCTAAATAGCTAAAAAAGAGGATCTGGACCACAATCATCACAAAGATAAGATAAATGTTCAGGAGAGAGATATACTATCTACCCTAAATAAATCAATGTACAATATACATATGTATTGAAACAACACACTCTACACCACACACAGGCACAATTAAATTTTAAAATTAAATTTTAAAATTAAAAAAAAAAGATTAAAAAGCAGAAAACTCAAAAAAAAAAGGAAAAAATATTTTTAACCGGGGGGGGGGGGGGGAGTCTCAGAGAAGAATTCGAAGACCTCAAACTAAAGTGAATAAAGGTCTAAAGGAGAAGGAGGTAAGAGAGCTTATCTGTGCAGATAACTAGAAAAAAAAGGTGTGATAGAACTGTAAGCTTTTTAGGCCACCGAAATAACCTGAACTTTTATTCTCCTGTGGAGAAGCATATACATAGCCCAGGTGGGAATGTCAAACTAACAATAAAGTCCTGAATTATATATATATTTAAATTACAGATTAGACATCAAAAAGTAGGGAAAGGAATTATACATGTTCAAAAGCAGATTCAATGAGACTGCAGAAAATTAGGTGTATATTTTTTCATTTCTTTTTGTTTTATTAATTTGCTACAATGTTGTTCAAGATAAGACTCCCAATAATGCAAGACAAATTAGCACTGGGAAGAGAGGCTATTTTTATTCATATCAATATCGAAGTGGTAACTTATTAAAGAAAAATTCAATGGTAAAATCTCAAGAGAATTAAAAATTATTAAAAAAAAATGAAATTGAAAGTGGAAATGGTGAAAGCAATGAAAATGAGCATCTAATTTCTTTATCATAGTGACCAATACCATTAAAAATATATGTAACTTGCACTGACAGCATTTATCAATGTCTTTTTTTGCTTTATATTACCAAAGTATTATTTGTTCAACACAGAAAATTTGGAAAACATAGAAAAGGAATAGAAAAGAGATGCCTCAAAATGACTACTATTAATCCGAAATTTCTTTTTTTTTTTTTCCTTTTTGTCTTTTTTCGTGACCGGCAACGGATCGCAACCCTCAGTGTCGCGCCCGCACCGGACCGGGACCGGCAACGGGATCGCAACCCTCAGTGTTGCCCCCACGCCTCGCTCAGCCAGTGAGCGGCCGGTCTACATGTGGGATCCGAACCCTCGGCGGGAGCGCCTGCCACACCTCCCAAGTGGCGCACTGTAGCAGTGTGCCACCGGGCCGGCCCTTAATCCGAAATTTCTACTTAAAGCATTTTTTCTCACACATAAGTATGTACATAATATTCTATATGTACATGAGGGTACTTCAAAAACTTCATGGAAAGATTCATATTATCTTTTAATTCTATTTATGCATGAACTTTCTGAAGTACCCTCATATTTGTACTTTAATACACACACTTAACTTACAAAAACATGATATGATTTATATTGTTCTACAGGCTACTTTTATCATTGACCAATATTTCATGAATACATTCCAATATCAATAAATAAGCCTTAAAGAACATGATTTTTTTTCTTGCCTATAGACTACTGACATACGCATAACTTATTTAAGTCCCTCACACGTGGGGCACATAGGTTGCTCACAATTTCTTGATATCATAAATTTTTCAAGTTTCCTGCACAGGCTGTCAGGCCAATATTTTTATCCAAAAATATATCTGTGGAGGTTAAACTAGATGATCTATTGTAGTCCATTCAAAATTTATTATTGAAATAATTATGATTCTGGTAGGATTAAAGTAAACCTCGACTAAATAAATAGTTTTCCTCAACAACATATTGGTAAGCCCATATAGTAAATATTTTTTTAAATATAATAAAAAATGTCCATTTGGATAAAAATACAAGTGGCATTAAAAGATAAAAAACTGAAGCCACCTGTCCTACCTCTTAGCCCTATCTCACAAAAGCAATCACTTTTAATTCCTTTAACTGCAACTTCTGATAGCTAGCTACTTAATATGTCTAAATAATATACTTATTTTGATATTTTTAAATTTATAAATTTTCAATATTACCTTTGACTGCTATTATGAAAGATACGGATTTAATCATCTTGAAACAGTGGAACTTCTTCTCTCTCATCCTCTGAACACAGTAATAGGTATTAAATTCAATTGAACCAAAATTTGCTATTCCATAAAATGAGAGCTAACTGAATTCATGTTCTGTAAGTTTCTTATAGCAAAGTCCCTGGAGAGATGAGTTCAGGCATCCAAAAATCTTCATAGTGCTTTAGCTCACTTTAATGACACTGAGTAGGATAATATATGTACCCACTCATAAAGTCTTCCAGGTTTCATTATGTTTCCTCCATGGAAACATAATTTCCATGTTGATCAAACTGAATGTTTTCCCCTAAAATTGGGAACAAGAGAAGTATGTCTGTGCTTACCATTCCTATTCAATACTGTACTGGAGGTCCCAACTAGTGCGACAGGCAATAACAAAACCAATAATTATTATTATAGACATACAAATTAGAAAGAAAGAAGTAAAACTGTCTGTTTGCAAATGAGATGATTATCTGCATGAATTTAGCAAGATTACAGAATAAAAGCTCAGCATATAAAAATAAATTGTATGTCTAAATACTACCAGTAACTGAAAAATACTATTTAAAGTATGATATTTTTATTCTGGGACTGGCCAGCTTCCAAAAAAAATAAAATAACATTTTTAATATCATCAGAAAAACAAAATACAAAAAAATTTTAACAAAAGAAAGGAAACACCTATAAACAAAAAAACATTGTGAAGAGAAACTGAGGACAACCTAAATAAACAAAGATGTTATACCATGTTCATGGATCAGAAGAATCAATTTTATTAAAAAACTCATTAACAAGTACATTTTCAAAAATAGTCTATAGATTCAATATAATTACCATCAAAATCCCAGCAAAATTTTGCAGAAATTGAGAAGCAGTTTCCAAAATTTATATGAAAATGAAGGAGACCTAAAATAGTCAAAACAATTATGAAAAAGAAGAACAAAGTTGGGGGGCTTACACTATTTGATATGAAGATGTACTATAAAACTACAGTAACCAAATTAGAATGATATATGCATCAATGAAATAGGATTGAGAATCCAGAAATATACCTTTCACCTATATGGTCAATGAAATTTACAAAAGGTGCCAATGTAATTCAATGGGGAAAGTAGAATCTCTTCAATAAATGGTGCTAGAACATCTGGACATTCATATGAAAGAAAGTGAACCTATATTCCTGGATTTAACTGTAAAAGCGAAAAATATAAGATGTCTAGAAGAAAACAAGTGAAAATCTTTGCTGCCTTGGGGAAGGCAAAGATTTCTTAGGACACAAAAAGTACCAACTATAAAATTAAAATATTAATAAATTGAACTTAATCAAAATTTAAATCTTCCAGTTTCCAAAAGGCTCTTTTACATTAGTTTCACTTAGAAAAATGAAAGGTATGTTACAGACTGAGAGAAAATACTTGCAATACACGTTAAGAACTATGCAGGGTCTGAGGTTTTACCCTACATACAAGCTAAGTTAGCCAGTTATATTTTCATGGATGCTGGCAAAAAACATGAGACTCTTGAATTACAGAGACAAAGGACTTTATTTTGCACATTGTGGTTCCCTGACCCACTAAATTGCACAGCGGCAATGCAGGGCTCATTATAAATGCCTGCACATGCAGTGGGTTGCATTATAGGATAACACTGATCTCAGGAGATTCACCACTTTTATAGCGAGCAGTAATAAGT